TCATCTGATCTTTACCTCCCAGAAATGTCAGTGTTTATAGCATCATGTCTTTCTATCATGAGGTGTACAGTTGTAGATAGTGCCAAAAGTGATTTTTAATAACAGCTGTTCTAGAAAAAGGATGAATTTCCATTTAAATTTGTAGGCATTCCTCCAAGGAATTTTCTAAATCCATCTTTTATATATAACCTAGTCCCAGAAATGTCTTGATCATGCATCATTCATATATTTATGGGCTGCATGGTCGTGGCTATGTGGACTATGGGTTTTCTACTTATTTCAGGAGTATTTGTAAGCACATTTGTACCCTGAAATATGCCTCAAGTTTCTACAAAACTAGCTCAGTGATACCAAACAAAGAAATTGAAAATAATGAATAAATTTATCGTGTTAAAAAAAAAAAAAAATTGATGTCTTTGTCTTCTCCTTTATAATTGATAAGCCATTCCTATTGTGTGTTTTTTTTCCCATTCATCTTTTTACTTGGGCTTTCGAAGAAATGCCCGAGGTATAAATTGGGTTTCATTTTTTTTCTTCAGTCACAAATCGCCCTCAAAGCCCTAAGGCGCATGCGTCAAATCAAAGTCTATGCACATGCGTAGAATCAGCCATAAGCATAATGCTTGAGTAATGGCGGATATGGGGAAGGACTCGTCGCTGTTTCAAGTAATGAATAATATGGAGTCTCACACCCTCAGCATTATTAGGACACCTGATTATGCACAGACTTTGCACCATCTAAAAGGGTGACAATGTTCGCAAAGAATTCTTTCGATTTTCTGCTATGAAGCCCGAGTTCACACAGTTATGCGTCTAGTTTCTCATTTCTTTCCTTTCACTTTCCTCAACCTCTTATAATGCCTTATCTCATCTACTCTCATACAAAAAACATTTTGTTGCTACCCTGAAAAAACCTCTGAGCTAAACAAAGACAGTGCATATGGCTGAACATTTGAATTATGCATACATCAGTTGAGGGAGAGAAAAATGCCCCAATCAGGGAGAGTCCCAGAAATCTCTACTGATGTCGAGTCTGACAATCAGAACTGAGACCTCGGAAATGTGAAGCAATGTGAAGAGGTGTGAATATGAATTTGAAAGAAAATTCGCAAAGCAGTTTGGTAGTGGTAAAAAAAATGACGCTGTCATGGCAACGGCCCACTCTATCAACTAAAACCATAACATCAAAGAGTACATGAAGTATCTGCCTGAGTTTAGGCGGTACCCGCTGCCATCTCATGAGTCCACAGTACTTTATATTCTGTTCAATATTTTGTTCAATGAAGTCCAAAAAATCCATATCTTTAAACACCAACCTTTATCCGTTCATTGAATAACTGTAACTATGGGTAGTACTGAACAGTACGGACAGTATACTATACTGGGAAGGATTGGAGAAGGGGCTCATGGCATCGTATTCAAGGCAAAACACCTTGAGGTTGGTTTGACATTTATTTCTGATGTTTTTCGACCTTCAAAACTTCCAAAAGGCTTGGAGTTTAGCCTTTATATTTAGGGGAAAAAATACAGGGACAATATTTGATGTAAACTAGACGTAGTGGAAGCCAAAATACGAGCAACTATGTARWSCTTTGGAGTTGTCTGTGTTGCAGAAAGGTGAAAATTGTGCTCTATATGTTTGGYTTGTATAAGCATAAATTTCGTCAATTTTAAGCCTAAGCTTGRAGGAATTTAGTCCTATTCCTCAAAACAAAGAGCAAAAGAGTATATCGAGAATATTTTGAGAGGATGTTGTAGCTATTTATATCGCAAAATAAGGTTGTAAACACAGCTGAAAGTGTATATATTTACACAAAATTGAATGCAATTTGAATCGAGAAAAAATGTTATGAAGAAATTTGTAAAAGGAGAGACATTATTTTATGTCAATAATGACTCTAAATTCCATCTTTTTGTCAAAACTCGAGGTAGAATTCATAGTGCTGAACAAAACGGGATAAATTTGAAGACTACTGACTTGATCTTGAAGATGTTGCATATATCGTTGCCATGACAACTTAGGAATAGGCGCTACATAGCTTTCCCCACTAGTAATGATTGACTGTTAAAAATCTGGAAAACTGTTGTGCTCTCAAGGAACTCAGATGAGCACAATAATTAGGGATTAATTGGTCATCATTTTGAGGTGTGGGGGGAGGGGGGTAGTGCAAACAGGGGGGTTACTGATTTTTGAGGGGAGAAAAAGGTATTGATGTAAAATTGTAAATTTTGCAAGTATTTAAAAAATATATATGTTAATATAGAGAAATATATGCTTCTCAAAACTGGGTGGAATGTTTTACCCTTAAGGGCTTAAAATATCAGCTGGTCTGTCACTGTTATGATCATAAGTCAAATAAATTTTCACTAGTTCATACTGTACCTCATTTCTGGCTCAATGTTACTGTTATAAATTACCAACAAGGCCAAGATTTGACAGAATAAGCTCCAATTCTAGCGAAACTTTATCATAATGACTGGCTATTATTTTAAACCCTGCCTTTCAGAATAACGTAAAAGGGATGTGAGTATTTTCCGTGCGCATGTGATTGTTGTTGTCTCGCAATTTTGAATGTAATTTCAATCAGTTTTTCCCTGACGATGGGTTTGTAACCTGAAAGCTCAAAGCAGGAATATGAAAATAAAAATTGTGGATGAAACAAAAAAGTAGTAAGATTTATTTATTATTATTTTTAATTAGTTTTCAAGGGCGGATCCAGGGTTTTTTGAAGGGGGGGTCTCAGGGGTAAATTTTGTGGGCAAAGGAATCCCAGTCGCATTTTTACCACAGGAAGCTCATTTGACCTCAGGAATGACAGGGGGGTCRCGACCCCCCCGACCCTCCCCCTGGATCCGCCCTTGGTTTTTTATCTTACAGAATATGGTTATTGTTCTGTAATTATTTTATTATTTTATATATGTCCAGAGTGGAGAAGTGGTCGCTCTGAAGAAAGTACCTCTTAGAAGGTTAGAAGACGGCATCCCAAATACAGCCCTCAGGTAAAAATAATGATATTTCCATGGTGTGCGTTATTCGTATTTATTATGATCAGGAGTTATTTTATCACATTTAAAAAACAATCAAGGGGTTGCTGAGTTTATTGCGCTAAATATATCTTCACTGCATGTCACATATGCTCACTCCAAAGGTGTAAGTCGAACTATTCATGAATATTTAATAATATTAACTAGTTTTTGATACAGCAGTCATTATTTTTTCTTTATGTATAATAGAGAAATTAAGTCTCTCCAAGAAAATGAAGAAAATCCTTATGTGAGTAAAATGTGAAATTTAAAATTAATCCTACCTCATTTTGTTTGGGTTCACAACCTCTGGGCTGATTTAAGTCAGGGCATGGCTCACTCACAGATTGCCAGCCCTAAAACAACCTTTGGGCTGATCTAAGTCAGGGCATTGCTAACTCACAGATTGCCAGCCCTAAAACAACCTCTGGGCTGCATGATCTAAGTCAGGGCATTGCTAAATTGCAGATTGAACCCTGTAACAACATTTCAGGGCATGGCTAACTCACAGATTGAATTGAAATTTAGCTGGTTAGGTTTTGGGAAGGGAGGAAAACTGAAGAACTTGGAGAAAAACGGAGAGACTAAGAAAATGTATTCACTGGCGATGCTAAGTGAAGGGGATCAAACCTGAGAACATAGATGAGAGGCAATGGAACAGCTATATATGTACACCACCTCAATTCCTCAATTGTACATTGTTTTCCACAGGTTGTCAAACTGATAGATGTATTCCCTCATGGTACAGGCTTTGTTCTTGTCTTTGAGTACATGTGGTCAGACCTATCTGAAGTACTAAGGAACTCTGCAAGACCTCTGACTGAGGTTAGTGAAACTACCAATATTAATAGTGACCTTAGCATCAGGTTTACCGCTAACCGCTAGGGATTATAGCCCGGGGAGGGGGGAGGGTACTCCCATAAATGGACTATACGGGGATGATCCGCTGAACAGGGTATGGTTTTTCGAGCTTCTTTTCATTAACAGAGTATGCAATTTCACTTAAGTTCCAAGTTCTTCCTGAGTTTCCCGACATATTCAGGGTTTCTACTTTCGTATTGACCTAAACTGGTTATTATGGTCTTTAAAAAAACGATGCAAGAGATGACATGATAATTGAAACGGGAACTCAGTGCAATTATTGATTATATCTTTTGTCATGAACAGGGTCTACAAATTTGGGTTTTTTGTCATAAACAGGGTACCCTTTTCAGAATCCCAGCGGAACACCCCTACCCAAATTCTGGCGGAGTAACACCCCCCCCCCCCCCAGGGATTATAGGCCCAGAGACATGCTGCAAACACAGAGAAACACTCAGCATCGATGAAATTCAATATGGTGGCTCTTCCAGCAACAACTTCCTTCTAATGCCTTGCTAAATGTAGAAAATTTGACGGGAAAAACCCGACATTGAAATGCAGTTTTAAGGTTTGGGGTACATAGCAAGAGTCTCGGAATAAATATTATCTAATATGTCTGACTAAGTTCCAAATTATGGGGAAAAAATTATAATCTTTAATTTTTCAAAATTTTAGCATAACATTACTAGTTTTGAATAACAGAATAATCATTGAATAATAACTGCAAGTTCGGAGTGAAAAAACGTTTTTTGATCCGGACGATCCAGTAAACCGAAGTCCAGTCCAGTCCAGCTATGCTCGGTTCCAAATTTTCCAAAATTAAAAACCTCTCAAAATTCCCAATTTAGAAAGACAAATCAAAATTTATAGGTTAGGAATGCCTTTGCTATATGTTAAGGTTATCCATACCCTTTCAAAAGCTGAAAATTCAACAAAAACTATTTTTGAGATCCAAGATCAGTCCAGTCCAGTCCATTTCTTCATGGTCCCTAAAAACTTTCCAACATAGAAAATCTCTAAAATTATCTAAAATTCAGAATTTAGAAGCATACAGTAAATCCAATTTTAAATGTTGGGTATGTGTTGCTATATGTTAAGATTATATATACCCATTCAAAAGCTGAAAATTCTGATCAGTGAATAATAATAATTTTTTTTTGAGATTCAAGATTCAGTCAACTGGTGTACAATCCAATCTTTCAGTCTACATGATTCCGATTTTCAAAAAAAAATTAATTGCAGAAGTAGTGAACAAAAATTAAGTGAGATCCAAAATCCAAATAATAAACAATAGATAAATGAATATAAATATATTAAATAATGCTTTCCAGTTATGAAAAAAAAGTGATATCTTGAGATTTTGAGTTGACTGTGTAAATGGGACTTGGCCAATGCCCTTGTTCAGTTTTTGAAGTCCTCAGAATATTATTTATCCTCCAAATTAGAGAGCATTTACTCTCATTTATCATCATTCCCACTCAATAAGTTGAATGCTTTAAAGTGCTTATAAGCCTTTACACAATATTTTCAGAATTGATTCTTTAAATAGTGAATAGTTGATTGTGAAAATAATTGGTCATTTGAATGTCGGGTCTTTAAGATATGAAGGTTCATATTCCCAATATGTTAATGACTATGACGTAACATAAGGGATCATTTAATATACAACACTGCACTCGTTCTGGAAATTATACAGTATTTTAAAAGCATCACCCTTTTACTCGTGACTCATGTAAAGGTTCTTACAAATTTATTTTCAAAAAATGTCTAGCATTCAATATAAAAAGTTGCCACAAAATAACTCAAATCCCTTATGTTACATCATAGTCATTAACATATTGGAAATATAAACCTTCGTATCTCAAACACCCGACATTCAAATGACGAATTATTTTCACAATCAACTATTCACTATTTAAAGAATCAATTCTGAAAATATTGTGTATAAGGCTCATGAGCACTTTAATGTCTGCTCCTAATCCCTATAATGCTAGTTTTTTGATTTATATGCAGGCACAGATCAAGAGTTATTTGCTGATGCTTCTGAAGGGCGTTRCATACTGCCACAACAAGGGTATTATGCACAGGGTAAGACTTTTAAATAATACTATACTGATGATTAATTCTTCATCTTGACCCAGCTTCAAGTTAAGCTTGAACAAATTTTTGTTGTCRTTTGACACTTGAGTTTGCTTAAAAAATAATGACCCTTCTGCATTTTCACCACCCTACCCACCACTTTAATTAATAACTTACTGCTTACTGTACAAGGGCGGATCTAGGGGGGGGGCAAAGGGGGGCTGAAACCCCCCTTCAGCAGAAAAAAAGCGATGCTTTTTTATATTGTTTTTTGTTGTGTTGGCTGAAGAAACTAATCTAGCCCCCCTCCCCCTAAACTCAATTAGCCCGCCCCCCCCCCTAAAATTTTGGCTGGATCTGCTCTTGCTATAGTCCAATTAACTCCATGGCTGTTGCTGTCTGTTAAATAAATTATTGCACTTCAATTTTCCAGGACTTGAAGCCTGCAAATCTCCTGATCAGTTCAACTGGTCACTTAAAGATAGCTGACTTTGGTTTGGCACGAGTGTTTTCTAATGAAGGAGACAGATTGTACAGTCACCAGGTTGCAACAAGGTATTGTAAATCAAGAAAGAAATAAAGCAAGCAAGCTGGCAGAAAGGAAGGAAGGAAGGAAGGGAGGGAGGGAGGGAGGAAGGGAAGAAGAAAGGAAGGAAGGGAGGAATGAAGGAAGGAAGGAACTGAAGGAAGGAAGGAAGGAAGGAAGGAAGAAAGGAAGAAAGAAACAGAAGGAGAAAGGAAGCTGGGAGAAAGAAAAGATGGAAGGAAAGAAAGGAGGAAGAGAAAAGACGGGAGGAAGGGAATGTTCTCTACCTTGTACAATTATAGTTAGATAAATTACTAAAAACTTTTTCTTTTATCTAGGTGGTACAGAGCACCTGAACTTCTATACGGTGCAAGGAAATATGATGAAGGAGTTGATCTATGGTAAGGCAAAATGAAGATAAAAGACTTTTTGGGAAGGGAGAGGGGAGGAGAGCTGTTACACAAGTATGTGTATTTAATGTGCTGCTTAATTTCAAGAGAATTACTCATTCCTAGTAAAGAAAGAAATAATACTCAAAGGAATGACACATGGTCTGAAATGGGAAAACATTGTACCATAGCTGAAAACATTCCTAGTAAAG